CCTAGACCCTAACACACACTTTTTTTTCTCTCTCTCTCTCTCTCTCTCTCTCTCTCTCTCTCTCTCTCTTCGTTATGCACAGCATGTATAAACTTGGAAAACATTCCCTTGGCAGTCTCCGTCGGTACCACATGGGAAATCCAAGCACAGAGAAGATTCAGGCTCCTAGTAGGGTTCATCCAACCAAAGGAGCCTGGTGTTTGCCCAAGGCTTGCACTACTTGATTTCCACACCAGCATGCTTTGAGTGCGGGCGGTCGCAGCTTGCAGAGGCTACGAAGTCGACCGCGCGCAGCCGGTGTGCCTGTTAGCCAACGGGGAGTGCAAAGCGTTCGGGGAGGCCTGTGGTCTTAATAGTGTTTGGAAGTCGACCAAGAGCTCTCGCTAGCTGGCTGTCGCGATACGGATGAGTTCCATCCAACGCCTAGCTACGACCACGATGCAGCAACTGCACAAGTTGAGTTTTCGTCGGACGTGCAAGGCCCAGTTTTTGTACTATTGCTCTTTAGCCTTTTCTGCACGTCGGGTACGGCTCGAGAGCATCCAGATACACAAAAACTTCGAGTTGTTTGCTACTTGTTCGTCTGGTTGTGAAGCACACGTGATCATGGCCGGACAGCACGCGCAACGCCAGAGGCTGGCTTGCGCACTCATCTTTTTGCTGGCGATGCGGGAGGTCTCCGCCGCGCGCGAGACCTTTCACGCCGCGCATGCAGTCAAGATCGTCGGCAATGCTTGGGAGGAGTCTTCGGCTCGACATCAGCAGCAAGAGAAGGTCACGGATGCTGGCAGCTTTTCCATCTCGACCATGTGGGCCTCGGGGAAGCAGAGTTCCTTGCAATAGCTTTCTGCCAATGTCACGTTCCGCTACAAGGAGCATGAGTCGCCTCCGTACATTGAGATCGATGGCTTGGACTTGGACACCAAGTACCGCATCTTGCCGGATGCCGTGGTAGCAACCGAGAGGATCAACGGCATGCAGACCATGTGGATCGTGGGATGGCAGGCCCATCGTAAAAACAAGGGCCAGTTCGGATCCAGCCACTACTCGAAGGACGAGGCCCTTTACTTC